AAAAGGAACGATAAATTGCGGTCAGTGCAGACCAGACAGCCGGCAGAAGAACACGGTGGGCTTTTTGTTTACACGATGGAACTGCTTGTGTGTGTGAGTTGTGTTGTTCTAATGCTCTCACGCCGCCACTGGCCACATTAGTGTGCCGGATAATTGCGTTTTCTGACATGAATAATTAAGCAGCAGGGTGTTTGTCAGGCCTCGGAGTGTGTTCGTGAGTGTGTGTCTCATCGAAGTGGCAAGGTAAGATTTCATCAAGTGCAGGATGTCTGTCAAAACACGTTTTCTCCCTTGCCGCTGTTGTCAGTTCTCTTTTTTCCCTTCTTTTCTCCACAGTGAAGTTTTTGATGGCTCCCTGAGATGCCTATCACATCTTTCATTCTTTCCCTCTCTCTCCATCTTCTGGCCTATCCGTCTCCCGCTGAGTCGTGCTCCCTCCCTCTCCTCCCAGATCCTCCCTCTTTCATCATTTCTCCTAATCCTTCACCCTCTGCATCAATCGCACTGACTATCCACTGCTCCTCTGACATCCTTTTTTTTTCAGTTCTGAAACACAAATGACTGGTTTATATTCAAGGCTCTCTTTCAATTTCCGAAATAAACAAACCTGATGCAAATGTTAAGATGGCAAGGTGCTCCATAGTCTCAGACGTCACTGCCGTAGAGCGCTAACAGACTGTTTGAGGCCAATTTTATGCATGCGGCACACATAATGGAGCTCTTGCAAAATCCAATCTGATTAGCTTTACACAAATCCTGAGCATTTGTGTATACAGGATTTTACTGAACTGCAGAAAACAAAGCCCTATTTACAAGTTTGCAGACTTCTTCAATGGACCACTTCCAAAGATGAACTTAATGCTAGATTTACCAACATGTTCTCACTCCCAACTCGTCACATATTGACTCTTGGTCAGGACCCCTTGGCGTCAGTTTTTAACGCACTGGGCAAATTTTTTTCAATGTGCAAGTTACTCCATTACTTCAATTGTTTGCCTTGTGCGTCAGATCCCTTAATTCTTTGCATGCATTTGTAAAAGTGAGCACCTAACCACAACCCTTCCCTAAACAATTTCTCAACAATATAAAACACGTAACAGTCAGACAAAAGTACAGTCACAGGTATTTAGGGCAAAAACTGACCAGAAAACAGTATAAGCATTACAATCAGCCCGTGTTATATCCCAAGTCCTCTGGAGTCATACAATATCTTTTTGTGAGGAACAGAGTGAAACTTCATGCGTTAATCGCTGAAAATATTCCCGCTCCATTAACAAAGTCACATCTCATTCAAAAGATAAATCTTAACATTAACATGATGCAATCAGTCACAAAGCACACAACAATCAACTCTAACATAACGCTTCTTTCATGTGGCAATTTGTAATGTGTTTATGATTTGAACGTTATGGCTTGAGGCGGTGATCACTTTTGGGTCTGTTCCTTATGCAAATTAATAATTTAGCTTCAGAAGACTTGGAATGTTTGTCTTTTTTTTTTTTTAATTGTGACTATAGTTGCATATGTCTGTTATATCCTTTGTTTGATATTGACAAATGTAAGGATCAGGGGTAGCGGTTGGGTTAGGTGCTCAAAATCGAAATAGTGTAATTGGTGTAAGAAGAAACCAGACCCTAAGCAAAGACCACAGGAGAACTGGTCCCCCATCTGAGCCAGAAGTAAGGAGAACTGGTTCCCCATTAGGCCAGAGGAGCATCTGAGCCTGTCTTCTGCCAAGTTTTTTTCTCCATTTCTGATGGAGTGTGGGTTCCTTGCCACTGTCACCTTTTGGCTTGCTTAGTTGGGGACACTTCAATTTAAGTGATGTATCGAAATGACCACACTGACACCACCGGATGAGAGCAAAACTTGGTATCAGTCGAGGTATGTCACATTCAGTGGGAAAGGAAGGGTTGTAGTCTGTTCAGCAAGGACTGACCCAGAATGGGTCAAATTTGTCAGCGAGTCTCAATCTACCTGTCAGGAGTAGCAAACCAAGCAACAAATCAGTTGTTTAAAGAGCAGTAATCTCATGAGTATATGACACTGACCATGACACACTGCACTTTGAGTGCCACATGACCTATAATTGCACACAACTAACACCAGCCCCTCAGCCACACTCCAGAACACTCCAAGGACAGCACTTCATCGATTCCGGCACAACAGCTTCTTTGGGGTTCACCGAACATGCCCATGGTGCAGACTCCTTCTATCGCTTCTCTTTCTCTTTTTCTCTAAAGGGCGAGGGCCGGCCGGGGGCATCAAAGCTCATTTTTCTGCGGTTCCCTCAGGACCAGACTTCGGCTGTGAGCAAAGGTTAAAGCTGACGCCGCTATCAATAAGTCACTGCCCGCATTTGATGCTCACGCTTTCGTAAAATGTCTAAAATTCCCTCAACACCTCGGAGGCTAATCGTATGCGTGCAGATAAATGAAAATAAATAAATAAGGTCCCTCAGCACATTAGCGGTTCTGTTCTTTCTCCGATCTGTTACTTTCTCTCCTGATGTCATTATAATAATCTGAGGTTAATTGCGTTGTGCATTCGAATATCATAAAGCACAGACTAAATGCTTGGCTGTGTTGATTTATTAGACTGTAACCTGTCACTGTAGCAGAGTGTGTCAGTCTTTTGATTTAGAACTTCCTTGATGATGCGTTAATAGTCTGGCACTGTGATTGGCTCACATGACAAGGTTCCCATAGCATCATATTAAACCACCACGCTCTCTCTCCCTCATGGAGACCTACAAAATAGCATCAATAACCCTCCACTGTCCTCTCTCTCTCCACTTTATTTGCAATAACTGTCAGCAGTAGAGTGATGCGTTTGTAATCTGATTTTTATGAACATACTTGTATGGATTATTGAGATCCTTTAATGCCTGTACGGGGTGCATTGAAAAGCCGAAGTCCTGAATGTTAATGTGACAATAAGAGTAATGAAGCGTCCAACAGTTTATCTCTTCCCTCGCTTTCTCTCTTCCCACCCCTGTCGTTCTGATGTCTTAAACTCCACATTTTAAGGGGGAGTTGATGAGAAACGAGGTGGAGCGGGAGAGTTGGTGAAACTGTGTCTTCATTGATGGTGTCTTTAATCAAATCTTGCTGGAGCCAGAGAAAGGAAGTCAAACCTCATCTTCACCAGCTCTCAATCACCTCAAGCTTAAATAAGGTCAAAATTAATCAGCCCGTATTTTAACTTTCTTCCGGGGACGTGTTTTTCAAGCCTCTATGAAGATGGCACACATCAAAACATGCTGGCCTCTTCGATAGGTTTGGGTGTGTACTCTATGGTATTTTGAATCATTTTAAGAGAGAGAGAGAGAAAAGCAGATTCCCAAACACTCTGCCATTGGTGGACGAAAACCCAGTCCTGTGGTGACTTCTCTGAAAAAAAAAAACTATGTTGCTTCTTGCACGTTTTGTGACACTTTCCAAGTGGAAACTCTATGGTATTTTGAATCCTTTTAAGAGAGAGAGAGAGAAAAGCAGATTCCCAAACTCTCTGCCATTGGTGGACGAAGACATAGTCCAACCCAGTCCTGTGGTGACTTCTCTGAAAAAAAAAACTATGTTGCTTCTTGCACGTTTTGTGACACTTTCCAAGTGGAAAGTCTAAAAGCATGCTAAATTTGATCTAAAACAGAAACACATGAATCCGGCAAGGTTTTATTACGTTGGTACTTGTATCCATCGAGGCATTTCGGAAATGAAATGTCCTGTGAGTGACGCTAGAACATAGCACCTACACTAAACCTAAGCAATAGTGTTAACAAAAGCAAATGTGAGATAAAAATGCATTTGCTGAAGCAACAGTGACATTTTAGCTTGTTTCTACAAGTCTTTAAGACTCTTAAAGACCTATCGTGATTCGTGTTTTATGGAACTCGTAAGAGCAATGCTGTACCGGGTGCGCTACAGAGCAAGTTTACTACATCAGAAAAGCCATACATATGGAGTTGGTTATGTGATGCAAACATCAAAATACACTAGTGCACCAACAATGTGCTATGGTGAAAATGATGATTAATTGATAATCTACTGCTGTAATCATAATTTGCATGAAAAATAATAAAAGTTGCTGGTGTTTTACTGCCTCTAGTGTTCATTTCAGCTGGAAACGGCAGTGAATTGTATGTTGGCCTATAGGTACGTTTTTGGAATTTTGCAAAAATGTAGGTAGAGGCATGTTTTTGCAATTAGCCTGTGTTGACAGAGTCAAGCTGAAAGCAAACAACATTGTTTGGGTCTGTATTGCAATTTTGATAGGAGACATAGCTACCTTCAAATTCAGGTAACTAGTGGCTAACAATTTAGCTTTAACTAGCTATAAACATGTAGACAGTAACTAACTTGGACTATCTTGCTCAGCTTAATTCTCTTCAAACTGTCTCCACCAGACAGCAATTGACCTAAAAGAGCTACAACTGACTGTAGAAGAAAACCATTAGCACTCAAAACGGTCAGCGTATGAATGCAATGTGTGCTTGTGGTGCATAATATGACTTCTGACGCATTTTGCAACAAATCAAGCTTGCATAGCTAGAAGCATTCATATATCAGGGTTTAGACTTCCTGTCATCAACACTGCTGAGTGCAAAGGAGGAATTTTACTGATGCTGTACACAACATATCACTGAGACAGCCAATGGGAACCTTCAGCACTGGCTGAATACAGAAGCATCTTTATGGAATGTCGACCAAGAAAAAAAAAATCTGCATACAAATGCCAAGGCAGCCTGGAGTTCATCTGCACTCCTGAATTATCTTTTATGGAAATAATAATGACTTCAAAACGAGTTAAGGCAAGTGGCAGCTGCCTCTATGGCACACATGTGACCTAAATAGGCCAGAGGCAGGAAAAGGGTTGAAGAGGCCATTCCATGGTGCTATATGAACTCTGTGTGATATCAAGAAGACTATTTATGGCTATTGTTAAGCCATTTTAAGATGGTTGCACATTTAGGTGTGTGGGAGTGCGAGCGTGTGACTCACCACTTCGCGGGGCAGGAAAGTGTCCTCTTGTCTGACGATGAGAAGACCTACAGTGCCTCCCATGGGAGTCGAGCGCAACAGAGCCACAACCTCCTCCTGAGTCTTACCATTCAGATCCACTCCATTAACCTAAACCCACACAAACAGAAATCATCAGAAAAATGAGGATCTGACAGCAAAATGCTGCTCCTTTGTCTTAACAGTGAAGCAAATCAGTTTTCGTCAATGTATATTTTTCATTTTGTAAACCACATGCACTAAACACAAACACAAACGTTTTTAAAAACATTTTTATATTATATAAAATAATAAATAATAAGAATGCACACACACACATATTTATTTATAAATGTTATTTTAGTACTATTTTCATAACATTATAGCATTATTATTTAGCTTTTTTATAATTTTCAGTTTTCATTTTAGATTAGGTTTTAGTAACTTTGTTATTTGCTTTTGTCATTTTTATTATTTGTTTAATGTATTTTAGATTCAATTTATTTTTAATTCTGTTTTAGTTCTAGAAATTTCAACTAATTTATATCAATTACTTGCGTTTTGATGTAGTTATTATATAACTATAATAATATAATAATTAATAACTATAAGTTATTATAGTTAACTAAAACTAAATTAATTATTTAAAACCATAAAAAAATCATTACTTGAAATAAATTCAACTTTAAATAAAAATTTTTAAAAATTTCAGTAGTTGCCAAGGCAATATTAACTTGATCTACTAAAATTAAACTCCAAGTAAAACTGATATAAACAATTCATAAAAACTACATAGACGTATTTTAAAAAACAAAAACTAATAAAAATGATAAAAACAACAAAATTGCTAAAAAAAAATTACCGAAATGAGAAAGAAAACAGAAAATATAAAAATAAAAACAAATTCAAAATATTAATAAAAACTATAATATTTAGTTGCTATGTTAACTATATTATGTTTTTCAACCAGTATTTATAATTTGTTTTATTTCAGCTTTTTTCAACAATGTGAACAAGTCTTAAAATTATTTTTAGCTAAAATTAACTTACATATAATACATAATATTCCTAATATCAGAAATACTACATATAGTATTAATATATACACACATAATCATTGGTTAAACAGGTTTGAGCATCATATTAAAAAGCTTGACCTGTGCAAAAGTGCTGCTGTCAAATTTGACGTTACAGGATGCTGATGTGAGACATTTGAAAGAGTGTTTAATAAAGCAACAAATAAAACCTGAATTATATTCCATGTAATTACATCCAATCAAGCATTACAATTAACTGCAGTCGCATTATTGTGACCATGACAACAGGAAGTACTGTCCTGATATTTCTATGGCAACATAAAGGCACGGGATGATGCGAAAGCACTCTGAAAGGCCTCGACTCCATTACAGCGATGAATCAGGGTTTGTTAAGCCAAATGGATGACGTTCTTGCTCCGCGGTAGCATCTGGCATGAGAGCCTGCAGGTGTCCTGCTCCATTTCTAAATGAAATAGCCATTGTTGATTGGCTGTCACTGTAAATCAGCCATCAGCTAAACTTCTTTTTGTCCATTCTCTTTTATTGAGGTTATTTACTCTCCCAAACTAAAAAGGAAAGTGCTTCTCACAAGGGAGAGAGGAAAACAATGGACATCTTGCCTCCAATAGACCAAGCAGAATGGACTTTTTTTGGATTTTAAAATAAGAAAAGCATGAGAAAAGCTGTATATGGTGCTGAAAGTTCAGGAAGCTGTAAGGAAGAGGAAGTGAGGGCCGTGTGATGTCACTCGTCGCTCTCAACCGCTTCCAGGTTTTCTCACCTCGAGCAGCCGGTCTCCAGCTTTCAGATAGCCGTCCTGGATGGCGGCTCCACGCGGGAGGATGTTCTTCACATATATGGGGGCGGAAGTGCCAATCGGGACGTCTCTGGAGGTGATGCTAAAACCCAGCCCCTCTGGACCTACAACACAAAAATAACAAACAATACATGTGTAAATGAACTAAAGAGTCTGGCTATAGATCAAACAATGACCGTCTGGGAATGTAATTTCACATTTTTAAGTTTAGTTTAGGTTGTAAAATGTCACTTTTTGCAGCACATATTTTTATTTATTTATTGTTTATTTGTTTTATATATTTCAATTTATTTAAATGTGAACCCCCCTGAAAAATCATTTTTGTTTAAGTTTTCGTAATTTTGCTATGTACTTTTGTTATTTTCATGTTATTTCAGTTTCTGTTTTTTTATTATTATTTTTTTTTTTTTCAAGATTTAGATCATTTTTATATATTTTTTTAGATGTATTTTTAAATTTAGTTTATTTTTATTTCAGTTTCAGTTTTAGTAATTTTAGTACTCAAATGTATTAGTTTCAGATATCATATAACCATATAAACCCAACATCAATATAAAAATACATATCTAATAACTAGTTTAAAGTGTTTTAAACTAGATTTTTTATTTATCTTGCACACTCATATCCGCTCAAAATGTTGAGTTCAGTGCAATTGTTTTTCACCAAGGCTTATTAAAAAATACAGTAAAAATTCTGAAATATTATTACGGTTTCAAATAGCTGTTTTCTATGCGAATATATTGTAAAATGTAATTTATTTCTGTGATGCGCAGCTGTATTTTCAGCATCATTACTCCAGTCTTCAGTGTCAAATCATTTTTGTTTAAGTTTTCGTAATTTTGCTATGTACTTTTGTTATTTTCATGTTATTTCAGTTTCTGTTTTTTTATTATTATTTTTTTTTTTTTCAAGATTTAGAATATCTCATGGTTGGAAAGAACTTTTCCAGTTTTCATTTTAGTCTGTTTTAGCAATTCATGTTCTTTTGTATTTTTTTTTTAATATTTATTGTGATATATATATATATATTATTTCTGTGATGCGCAGCTGTATTTTCAGCATCATTACTCCAGTCTTCAGTGTCACATGATCTTCAGAAATCATTCTAATATGCTGATTTGCTGCTCAACAAACATTCCTGATTATTAGAAATGCTGAAATTGTGATACATTTTATTTTTTCAGGTTTCACGGATGAACAAAGTTCAAAAGAACAGCGTTTATTTGAAATAGAAAACTTTTTTAACATTATAAATGTCTCTTGATGAATTTCCTTGCTGAATAAAAGTATTAATTTCTTTGAAAAACAGCTAAAGTGTTGCAAACATTTCGTGAATTCTATATATGACACGGATTGCATATCGTCCGCAGAAAAATTACAGTCCTGCTCAAGTCTACTGTATCTAATAACTAATCTGAATCCATCAGACGGGATATTTTTATGTCTTTAAAGGTTATAGAGAAAAAAAACAGTGTGTTCCATGACCGCCTGTGCGCACAAATACAAATTACACAGGCAAAGCCCAAGCATATGGCAACACAGGCCACCCTAATTAAACGTTTCAAACCCATCTCTGTGCGCGGCACAACCGCAGCGTGACTTCAAATTTAGACCCGTGTGTTTCAGAGGCACGCGCTTTACAAATCTAGCGGGGCAGTAACATGACATGCTCGGGTCGTCATGCCAGCTCCTCCAGAACGCACGCTGTAGACATTTGCTTTTCCTCATTGAAAAGAAGGCCAACTCCCTTCAAACCCAGCTTTGAAGGGTCTTGATGTGCGCATGCATCAGGCAAACTGAGCTTTACAGCTCGCCACGGACATTAGTAAATCCTGGAAAATGTAGTTAGGCTCAGACATGGGGTATGCACAGCAATTTGCTCCCTGTCCACAAAATGACCGTTTTGGGAGTGCCAAATGAATACGAATAGGCAGATGTAGGAGAAGCGGAGAGAAAGAGTAATGGTCGGGACACAGAGGGATCAGTAAGGTTGACCTTATCATCCCAACAACGTCTGTAATGGTAAAAGAAAAGGCAGTGGGGGAGATAGAGAGACTGATAGGCCGGACACGTATTTTTATCTGGAGACACATTTGTAGCCTTCAGGACTGTCTGTGTTCGCTTATATCATATCTGGGATATGTCTTGTTCATGGTTTGTGCACAAAAAGGGAATTTTTCAAAAGGTTAAACCCAATATTCCAGCATCAAAGCAAGTTATGCTCAATAAAACAACACTTGTGGCATCAAAACACAAATAAAAAAGGGAGTCAAAAAGTGAGGGACAGAATAACGGTCACATTTAACGTTATTCTGCGAATTTTCACAGGCAAAATCCATTCATTTCAATAGAAATCGGTGCAAATCTGGAACTTCACATGAGGGTGAAAGATTTTAAAACGTGGATTCAGCAACAGGTTAAAGTTGGCTGTGTTGACTAACAGAAAGCTGCTTGGTGATTTCCGTGACTTCTCTTCATACATCAGTACACTATTAATCATTACTGGACATTTGCCCATGAAATTTCACCAAAATTTTACTAATGTGATCGAATCTTCACAAGAGAAGTGAATGGGGCCAATTTGCAAACGTTAAAGGTGCAGTAAGTGATTTTTGAGAAACTCTGTTTATATTTGAAATCACCAAAACGTACACGCCCCTACCCAAAAGGATCACACCTCTATCTTCATAGCTCCGCCCCCAAATTCACAAACATGCTATGCAGCACAGGCAACTCCCCTATCATGAGTGGATACGCCCCTTACTGGTGATTGGCTAGAAGTGTGTTTTGATGCTCGGTCCGATCCACTTCCACTACAGCGTTTCTCAGAATAATGATATATTATATATAATATAGATTATATATAATATAAACTATATATCTATTACGTTTATATAGATAATGAACATTATGCCACAAATGCCCTTGATTGAGCTTAACTTGTATTGAAACTCCCATATTCCAAAGAACACAAGCCTGCCGCAGCATGAGCCGGTGTTGCTGGTCTGGGGTCAGTAGCTGTGTTGTTCTCTAAATGGTTTATGTTTGTTATGGTGCTGGGATAACTGCTCCAAGACATACGGCCACAGCCGGCAGAAGTGAAGCCAGTCAATAACAGGCCTGTGAGGCTATCAAAAGCCCACCTGATGCCCCCTACAGGATAATTACTACAATCAAACTTTCAGCCATTAGGACATTCAGCTGTTAACGGCTTACAATCAAGTAATTAGAGGGATGGAACACTAATAGCCCCGCGCTAATTAATCACGTATGTGGCACGGTGCTGGGATAACTGCTCCAAGACGTACGGCCACAGCCGGCAGAAGTGAAGCCAGTCAATAACAGGCCTGTGAGGCTATCAAAACCCCACCTGATGCCCCCTACAGGATAATTACTACAATCAAACTTTCGGCCATTAGGACATTCAGCTGTTAACGGCTTACAATCAAGTAATTAGAGGGATGGAACACTAATAGCCCCGCGCTAATTAATCACGTATGTGGCACGGTCTACTTTCAGGGCTTTTTCTGTTGTTGAGGTTTTGGGTTTTTTTTGGATTATGTGAGAGAAAGATAATAAAAAATGCTGTCTATATGACTGTGCCAAAGTCTTAAAGCTTAAAAAAATCAAGCAATGTAAGGCAGTACAGAAAATTACAGCTTGAGGAAGAAATTAGGAAAATGTTCTCCGCAATGCATTAATTTATGAGGGCTTGAGAGAGAAAGCAGGAGGAAAAGACAAATGAGAGAGGACGGTGTGGTCTTAGACCTCTTAAAGTACTATTTTAAGATTATCATAACAAAAAAGACAAATGGACTAATGGAAGGAGGAAGAAGACTCTTTAAATGAGTGAAGCTCCAGTGAGAGAACAGAAACATCCCACATCCACATAGCAGAAAAAAAAAATCATATTTGCCTTTTTATCCATTAAATAATCAAAACACTGTAAAAATGGGACAAAATAACTTTTTCCTGAGAATTTTTTTAAATCATCCCTGTTTGACCAACCAACATACATAAATAAATAAATATAAATAAATAATAATTATTATTATTATTATTAAAAGACAAATGGAGACATTTATGTGTCCTTGCAGTGTTCACTTACAGAAAGAATGTCTTTATGATGGCTGTATATAATAAATCATTATTATAAAAAAATATTAATAAAAGGTAGTTAATATGGTAATAGAGTTACCATATAACCAAGGAACACAACATCAAGCATTTAAATTCAACAAGAAAGGAGTTGGAAAAAGCTGGGGATAGACCTTAAAACAGAAAAAACGTGAGTTGTAGGAGGCATAAAATATGATTTTACATTACATTTTTACTGATGTGTTTTAAAAAAGCCTATAAAAACACTAAATGTGAGCTATTCACCGCTACAGTCGCTTGAGCAGAATGAACCTTGAGTATAAACAGCATTAGATGCATTATTTTATTTCAGCAGTGCACCTGTCACTGAATAAAACTTGAATTTGATATAAAGACAACACCGTTTTTCATAAATCTAGAAGGGTAAAGTGGGTAAAGTGCCCAGAGCAAATAAATCTCTCAGCTGGCACAGACGTGTTGAAGCCAATCTGAGAGAGCTCTGACAGATTAAACAGGCTCAACGAGGGTCAATAACCTCACTGCAAATGGGACGAAACGAGAGAGTGCATCAGCTTCCAGGTGAAGTCCCGAGCAGAGAGCAAGCCTTTGGTGTTTGTACTGATAAATGCTGAAGGCTCCCACAGATCTGCTGTATTTAGCCTGTAACACAAGCTCAGCTCAGTCCAGCACGCATGCCAGAACCGCAGCGCTCAACATCTGCTGCATCACAGCCAGACGCCAGCGGGCAATTCACCCTGCGCTTGTTCATTTCCTGTCTCCCTCCCTCTATCTCTGCGAATCACAGGGAGAGAAGATGAAGATGGACTGATAGTGAAGAGTGGCGTTCATGTTTGGATTCAGGGCTCCTACACCAGTGTTTCCCAGAGGGCTGCTAGTCAGGACTGTGTCCCAATTTACATACTAACCACCCTACATAGTAAACAAGATTAGAATTACTGTGTCCTGAATCACATATCACATGTGTGCGTGTGTATTATTGCATATATTATTGCATATTGTAGTATCAGGTGGATTTCTGCATATTATGCAAGCGTTTCTAGTTAATATTACCCACAACCCCTTGAACTATAGAGGAGTTTGTGACAATTTATTTTCAACAACTTTAGTGTATAAAAGCGACACAGATTGTGAGGCCAATGCTTTCATGGCAGTTTTTAAATGCCTGGACATAAAATTGAAATAAGGAATCTTAAAGTACAAATTTAGCTAGATACATGCTAATGCAAATTGTGCATGTTAAGCAGTGTTGTTACTGTTAACTATTAAAACTAAACCTAAAACTTTTACAAATATTTTTTGGTAATGGATAATAAATAAATAAATAAAATTAGTAACTCCGATATTTTATTGTAAATGAAAAAGTAATGTGTTACTTTACTAGTTACTTGAAAAAAAAAAGTAATCTGAATACTCTTATTATACTCTTACTCTTATATGTACGGTCAAGTATGAAGGAGCATTTTAAGTTCTTTTCACTGTTATCATTCAAATCTGCAAGTGGTGCCGCCGGCGCCACCTCGACCCCAGGAGGTTAACTGGAGTTGCAATAATGCATCACCCCCAACACAGGTAATTATGAAATTACATAAAAAGATGTTTTTAAGTGGGTCAAAAAAGCACTGTACACTCTAAAAATGCTGGGTTGTTTCAACTCAACTTTGGGTCAAATATGGACTAACCCAACCGTTGGGTTACATTTTTACATTAAATTTTTAACCCAACAGTTGGGTTAGTCCATATCTGACCCAAAGTTGGGTTGAAACAACCCAGCATTTTTTAGAGTGTAAGCTTTTGCTAATTCCATTTAACACAAATGTAATGTATAATACATGTTGAGTTAATTGCAATTATCATTCAATTAAGTGTTCAAAAACATTACATTCAGTTCACACTTAAGTATATATTTTTGTAAGAAGTACTCTTTTTACTAGGCACGTCTAAGTGTTCTTCTTTTTCACAAGATGTAAACTAACTAGGACACTTCCCAATATTATGACAATACTAGATACTGTGAGGACTGTCAGTCTACTCACTTCTATGAATATTACAGCCCAAAAAGGCTACAAACACACATAAAGCTCTTGAGTAACACCTAACAGAGGCTCCAGCATGTGACAGGCTGCGTGTCAGACTCCAGCAAAAAACTCCCTCTTTCACCCGCGGCTGTCTTTTCATTTAAAGGCTAGCGTGGCGTACGCCTGCCCTCCCCAACCCACTCCATATTTCACACCGCGCTGAAGCCCGGCCCATTTGTTGTCAGGATTTAATTGTGTCTTTACCGCTCCCTCTCCTGCTGCGTCAACCTAATAGATGCGAATGAGACAAGCCCACTGACAGAGAAACTTCTTTTTGCTCTTTCATTTAAACACGCCGGAGCGTGTGATTACGACATGGTGACAAAGAGGGGAGGGAAAACAGCATCAGAGAAACAGAAAGTTTCGTGGCTTGACGTTCTAGCATTTTCTTCTCAAAAGCCGCCACTAATGGAGATCAGAAGCGTTGCTGCATAAGCAGTAACAGATATTCCTCAGACGTCTTGGTTTATGCATAAACATGCGTGCGTTTGTGTCTGTTTGGGTGTGTTTGTGGTATCTCTGATAGACATTTCCAGTTGTCCCGTGGTGTGAAATGCTGAGATGCAGCTGCCGTGCAGAGCGAATGGGATTTGGAGCCGTACGTGAGTCTGAGAGGAAGCTGCATCCGCACTTCCTGACAATAGCAGATTGAGTCCTTTGAAGTACCAACTGCATTAGTTACACAATGTTAGTCGCTACAGCGGAAAAGATACACCGCCGTTCGCACAGATATCATCAGCTATTAAAACAGCAGAAAATACAGGCAACTTCAGAGGAAAACAAACAAACAAATAAATAAATGCATAGCGTACGCTATTTTTTTATTGCAAGGGCAACAAGACGTCTCGTGTGAGTGTATTTCTCACATTTTCACTTCAGTGGCCAAAAGCATCTGGACATCAGAGTCTAATTAAAGATTTTGGTTATTTCAGTTAAAACAGATCTTAATGTGACGCTATACAATGACATTCTAGAGAATTGTGTGCTTATGAATTTGTTCCAATTTGATCATTATTAATTATTAAATTAAAAGTTCAACACGCATGTATGAGTGTGGGGTCATATTCTTTTGGCCATATCAGTGTTATTGTTAACTAAAACTAGAACTAGTAAAAATTGTTGTTGTTAATTGAAATAATGCTGGATATGATGCCAGAAATAATGCTTAATAATAAAAATAAAAATAACAATAATTATATATATATATATACATATATATATATATATATATATATAATTAAATAAATGTCGCTTTCAGCTACAGTAGCAATAAGACACATTTTCCCACAATGAAATTCATTCTGCAAAACACTGCAGATTTGAAAAAGTCTACAAATCACATCTGGGCCGACCCATCAGCGCTCTACCAAATCTGACAAAGTGGGCTATTTCAATTAACTAGGTAAATGTACTCATAAGAAAGGTCAGGTTACCGTGAAGCGCTGTGAATCAGTATGATGAGACTTGAGTAACCGTACCTTTCCTCAACTGGACGTTGAACTTGCGGCCGGTCTTTTTAGAGTAGCCCACAGAGGAGGCGGCACTGGTGGGTCTGGAGGGCTGGTTGGGGCCCGGTGGGGTCTTGTTTGATGTGTTTGCTATGTGCGGTAACGTGGGATAGCCCAGGGTCGATTCGGCTTTGGACATTCTCCGCGGGCTGTAGTCGACACCTCCTCCCACCAGACTGGCCCTGTCCCCGGGGCCCGAAGCAGCCTGAAGACCCAGTTCGTTCTGAGACAGCAGCTCGTACTGGGCTTTCTTCACCGCTGGAACCACATGGAACAGGATGAGTGGAGAACGCATAGCGTGTCTGAACAAATTCTGGGCCCTGAGGGGAGAGAACAGCACACACACACACACACACACACACACACACACACACACACACACGTCTCAGTAAGGATGTATCTCATTGTCAATTACTGAACAGGCTCATCCTAAGTACTGGGATTGTTAAAAGCAGAGCACATGCAGAGGTCAAATGGTCGCCTTGCTTTATCGTTGGCTAATTGTACTAGTACAGTTGGAAACAAGGTTAATTCACGTTATCTGCCATTTCCATAATCACAAAGCCTTGGGGAGGAAGCAGTGAAATGTATTAGAGGCAGAAAGCGGGATCTGTTTTCATAAGTGTGCCACATGGAGGACAAAAACAGCAGTCCATCAGACCTGCAAGATATGGCTAAAAGGAACACTAAAAAAAACCTATAAGTCAAATAAATAAATATATAACAGATCTAGTTATGATATATATGATGGAGTGGTTCATAAGTAACTTATGTATATTAGAAACAATCATTCTGAATGCATAGAATGAGGTGATTTCATTAACTCTTTCCCCGCCAAACATAGATTTTTCCAGGTTTCCGTGTCTTCACTGTTATACACTCGGGGGCACTATTATCCCCTCTCCTGAATGAGTCCACAATCTCCCGATCAAAAACACAGACTAGGAAGACGCAGAAACGAGCGATCTCATATGTAAGCAGATGCATTTGAAAAATAATGCGATCATCAACAATAAACAGCATATAAATGAAAATCGATCAAGGAAGTGGTGAAGGACTGTGAAGCTTTGGTGTTGATGGAAGCGATCCACTGCATCTATGCTTTGATCAACAAACTGAATATGATCCAGATGTAGTCTTTGATAAAAACTTGATTTTATCAGCTTTTTGATCAAAATGCTGTTTTTTTATGAAACTTACCTACATTACCTACATTACCTATAAAATAAAAAAGAATGCTTGAAGCCAGAATAAAACAGAATTTTTTGTTTAAAAGTAGAAGCTCTGTTCTTTATGTTGATGTATTGCATGTTCAGATATTCATACAACAAGATATTCTGGAGGCCATGACATTTTTGTGAAAATTAACAAAAATGCTGGCGGTGGCTGGCAAGTTTTTTTCAAACATGCTGGTGGGGAAAGAGTTAAACGAATAGTTATCCCAATAATAATAATAATAATAGTAATTATATCTCAAATTAGTACAAATGTATGACATAGTATGACTTACACACTACCGTTCAAAAGTTTGGGGTCAATAAGATTTTTTAAAATGTTTTTAAAAGAAGTCTCTTTCAAGGCAGCATTTGTTTTTTTTACAATTTTGTTTATTTTTTGATTATTTTTTTACAATTTAAAATAGCTGTTTCTATTGTAATATCTGTTAAAATATAATTTATTCCTGTGATGTAGGGCTGAGTTTCATTACTCCAGTCTTCAGTGTCACATGATCTTCAGAAATCATTCTAATATGCTGATTTGCTGCTCAAGAAACATTTCTGATTATTATCAATGTTGAAAACAGTTGTGCTGCACGATATTTTTGAAGAAACCTTTGAAGAGCATTTATTTGAAATATAAATCTTTGTAACAATTTAAAAGTCTTTACTGTCATTTTTGATCATCATTGCTGAAAAGAAAAAAAAACATCTGACTAAATAGTTTTGAATGGTAAGACTTGAAATACAGTGCACAAGTCACCACTTTTATGTTTTTTTGTTGTTGTTGTTTTTCAGTTTTAGAGATTGGAAGCTGCAGTCACCGTTTATATTCCATTATATGGAATGGAGTTTAAAACAACATGAGTGTAAGTAAACCCTGCCAGAATCTTCCATTTTTTACTGAACTATTGCTGTAAACACCCAAAAATACAAGACAAGCACATCTGAACTACAGGTTAATGCTGCATTTTACATATAGATAGTTTGACCCGGAAACTTAAACCCAACACAAGAATGAGAAAGAGCAGAGGAACACGAGCTCGACAGTCGTGTACGTCGCTGTTTACTCCTTTAACGTAAGAACCATCAGAGTGAGTTATTTCCGTCTCAATAAACTCTTCATTAAATCGATCTCTGCAACTAGACAGCAAATAGCACCTCACTTTAGGGACTTCCATCTATTTTTATGCAAATATGGCCCCGCCCGCCTCCAAACGAACGGCGTGTGTGAGCAGACGAGCGGAGCGGTGACACACGGCTAATCACGCGACTCCCTCTGTCTGATTTAATAATAAATGACTCCATTAACGCGTCATTACACTGCGTTAGATCAACCGCTGATAAATATTTACCCATGCAAACAATCCAATAAGATTAGAATATCGTTATGAATTATAACTCCACATGGAGCACAATCAAGAAACAGAGGGAGAGAGAGAGAGAGAGAGAGAGAGAGAGAGAGAGAGAGAGAGAGAGAGAGAGAGAGAGAGAGAGAGAGAGAGAGAGAGAGAGAGAGAGAGAGAGAGAGAGAGAGAGAGAGAGAGAGAGAGAGAGAGAGAGAGAGAGAGATAAAGAAAACATCGGTCTGTATGAATCCCGCAGCTGTGAGAGAGAAAAAAACTACAACGCAGACGCAGATTAAACCGTTACTCTCTTGTGAATCGACTTTACAAGCATGGAAACCGCAAGTTTGTTTACAGATAACTAACATACCGAATCGACGAGTCAAAGCCCTGAGGGGCGGCAATATATACGAAGAACAAAAGGATGTAATATCTAATATGTATTACGCTCACATTATCGACCCGATGTGTATGTAATTCGCAAGGTTGTGTTTAATCCTTGACCCCGTTGGGTTTGTGTATTTACACTAGCGGTGAAAGCTTGCACATATATAAGGTCTCATGCAAAAATATTGCCAAGCAATTAAAACATAATAACGCTTTGGGACACTGGGGAAATTAACTTGTGGTGTTGGGTTTGTGTAAGCAGACTGAATGATGTATGTAAAATTAGTTTTAGATGAGATTATGAATTATCCCGCAGCTGTGCCCTTTCTGTGCCCTGTGGCGAATCCCGGCCAGAGCTCTATTTTTTTTTTCCATTCATTCTCCTGTTGCAGCCGAGTTTGTTCTCATCTTGCCATATTGTATACAATCATCTGGACCAGGCCAAGCCGAGCCGAACAAGACTGGGCCAAAGGAAGCTCTTGATGATAAATGTGGAATGACACTCTACCTACAAGCAATATTCTCATCTTTTCTCTTTCTTGGAGTTGTTATTTAACAAATTTCTCAAATACAGCAGGCCATATGTGAGCTGAGAGATATATTTGATAAGGTTTATCATGATATGCCTTACAGCCAGATGTGGGTACTTTTAGGAGTAGATTTAGAGGTGAGCAGTGGTGGGTAGAGTACTTGCAAATTGTAGTTTGCTACTGATTTCAAATTACAAGACACATTTTGTAGTCAGTAATGTAATCCATTATACATTTTAGGTAATATAATCAGACTCATTTTGGATTACTTTTGACCTAACTCGTTTATCACGTTGATTTAAAGGGGTCATATGATGCTATTTTAAAGATAATTATTTTGTGTATTTGGTGTAACAGAATATGTTGACATGCTTTAATGTTCAATCTTTATGCACCAAGAGCTTGTAACACTCCATAGAGAAAGGTATAAGATAATCTCGTACCATATTGATATAAAAATATAAAGAGAAAGAAAATAAATTCCATTTGTTATTAACAACATGAAGAGCATTAAACATTACATTAATCTAAATGCTAAAAAAAAAACTAAATGTGTTCATCAGTAATTCATTCAATGTTGAAACGTTGAGAAAACACTTCTTAAAATTGAAATGATTTCTGTAAATCCAGTGGTCAAATGATTTTTCTGTGTAATTATAGCCACCTGACTAATGACTGGTCTTTGTGTGAATTTCCAGATACTTGAAGACTTTCTGAATGTATAGAAGCGGTAGATTATTTTAGAAAGGAAAATGTAAAAGATGAAAAACAAAAATTATGGAGAATCAAATTCAGAATAATTAAATTCTATTTTGTTAATATGTATAATCAATAAAAAAGTAACTGTAGTCTGATTACCAGCATTTTAAAATGTAATATAATCTAATTTCAAGTACTTATTTTTTGGAATCTGATTACATAATCCAGATTACATGTAATCAGTTACTCCCCAGCTCTGAAGGTGGGTTTTGTTACATTGGTTTTATCCTCAGACCATTGGCTGAATGTCCGATGCATAAAATGAGAAAACACACGAAATGCAAAACACTTCACGAGTCTGGAGGTCGTCATCTGATTGGTTGAATTCCACATGATTTCCTTGAGACGTGTGTCACATTCTTTAACGGTGTGACTGGGATCAAAGCCGTTATGACACCAAACCCTCTGTTTGATGAAGAAAGCCGCTGTGTTTACAACTGTGACAACGAGCGCTTATCATGATCAACTAAATGCTGGATTTTCAAGACTCAGACTCTTGACTCTTGACGACTGAAGACAATGTTCCTGAATGAATGATTTATCGGCTGCAGGCCGGTTTATTAATTTAGAGACATCAACTTTACATTTGTATGCCCCTAAACATGATGCTGAACAAAATGAACTGTGATTGTTTGCTTTGCATGTCAATCAGACGGCCTTATGGGCGGTGCTTGGTTACACTTTTACACTAACTTGAGTACATTTGTAGTTACTTTTTAACTTTTTTTTACATTACGCTGGGCAAGGTTTCTTTCGTTACTTTAATACAATAAATATTAAGAAGTTAGTAGTTTATTTCAAGAGCACTACTCATTTTACTTGAGCCATTCACCAATGATTCACTCTTTTGAGTCGATTCTCTTCAAAGAATCAAAAATACCCATATCTTAAATGTTTTGGTTCAGCAGACTTTAAGAATAATAACAAAATTAAATAATCTATAAATCATCTAAAAATAATCTATAAATCTAGCGATAAATCTATCACTTCCTAGCTTTTCTTTGTTTCGATAACATTAGGCAGTTTTGATTTATATGCTGATTAATGTTTGATTTTTATAATATTTGATTATTTTGTGCTTCTTCTTCACAGTGTTTTGATCCAGAGATGCTGTACTCTTTCCGAAGATGTGTAATAGCGCCTCCTACTGTATAACAGTGAAAACACAGAAGATGCTGTCAATGGCGGGGAAAGAGTTTGTCTGATAGTGGGTGGACACGAGTTCATATTCAACTAGATTTTTAAAAAAAAAGTGTGTCAAGACAAACTTTGCAGTTGGCTTGAGAAAGCCAGAGCAGAAAGTTTTAAAAAAGTTTTAAAAACTTGAAGTTTTAAGATTTTCAGTTTGAAGTAGTTTGAAATTTAAAATGGTTTATACATTAAAGTTTGAATGTTTTGAAGTCAATGCAGTATATTAGACGATAGATAGATAGATAGAGAGAGAGAGAGAGAGAGAGAGAGAGAGATAGATAGATAGATAGATAGATAGATAGATACATAGATACATAGATACATAGAGTTTGAATAGTCTTGGCTCATGTGAACATTTCATCAATGTAAGTCTATGGGATTTTTATGATTTTTGATCTTCATTTTTATGAAAACCATAAGTTGGATCATGTAGAAAAGATAAAGCACACTAAGTCAGAACAGTCTGAAGGTCTGAGCTGAGTTTGGTGGTTTTAGCTTGAAAGCTCTAGGAGGAGTTAGAGTCAGAAAATGTAGTGTCAGAACAATAATAACTATATGTTTAAATAGCATTTCAATAAGCTGGCTTTCTCAAGCCAACCTAAAAATGGTAGACGTTTCAAACGACTTTATGCAGGTTAATTTCAACAGACATTTTGAACTGAGGAAGAAGTTTAAAAAGTTTAATAGAGTATCAGGGTTATCGTACTGCATGAACCTTCAAGGAAATCAAGAACGATTTTTAATCGACCTTATGATAACCTCTACTGCTGCATCTGATCCACGAACAACTTCTGTAAACTTTAAACAGAGATGTTATTCTTTGTTTAGTTAGAAAGAGAGGCGAGATGAAAGGCTGACAGCAAGGCTTTCAAAGCTCTGAGGAAGACTGAAAGCTCATGAAAGTGTGGAAAGACAGAGAGGCAGAAAGGATAAAGCGTGAAGCGGTCTCTGCATCTCCTCCAGAGAGGGGCTTACTGTTCGAATCGGATGTTGCGCAGGTCTGCGTTATTAATCCGGACAATACAGTCGTTCTCCTGGAACAGAGCATCCCGCTCCGCCTTCCCGCCCCTCTCCAGCCTCTTCACTAACAAGCCCAGCGTCCTGGAACAGTCACAGCAGATATTAGTGACATTGAGCTCAGTGTCAGCGCAGTATCAGCTACACCACACATTACTGTCAGAGCCTGACACAGACGCACAGCTTCAACCAGGCATCATCTAACACAGAACGCACACTTAGCTTCCATTTCATGCCATTATGCAATTAAAATCAATGCATTTGAACACACTGTACAAGCAGTTTTGGGGATATTTTGAGGAATCAGAGGACCCTGTTGCTCAGAGTGCTACAAGTATTTACTATGGTAAACACAGCTTCAGCAAAAATACCAGTTACTACAATTATTATAACTTCTGTACGTTAATAAATTAACACTGTGATACAGACTCAGAAGCTTTCAGAATTCAGAATGAAATAAATTATTATTATTATTATTATTAAATAATAAAATACATAAAATAATAAAAAATAATATAAATAAATAATTATAAATGATTAACTATACTATTATTAAAATATTAATTACTTCAGTTACAGTACAGTAACACAATTAATTAATATGGCATCTCCTTTAAAAATGTTAAGAAGCTTTCATAATTTCTGTAAGTTAGCCTTCAATCATAATTAATATTATATAATGTATCATATTATGTACAATATATATAATAAAATAAATAAAATGTATATAATAATAATAATAATTATGATTATATAATTTGTATTATTATTATTAAGTAGTAGTATTTTGGTGGAAACTATAGTAATCATGGTAAATGCTTGTAAAACACAAAACTACAAACATTATATTCAACACAATCAATAAAGCAAACCTGTGTGTCCACTGCATCCTTTCATGAAAATATCAGACAGTCAAGAACAGCATATATATTTCATATTCAAAAAGGATTAAAGAAAGGATAAGAGTTAGTGATACACGGCACAGTGTCACCTTTATCAAATCTAGATACACTGTAAAAAAAAGAACACAGATCCCATTGATCTTGAACTTTTGAGAAGTTTACTGTTCCTCGCGGCTCTCTTTCAACTCAATACATCAAAAAAGGACTTTCTGAACTTAAGCTGACTTTGGCCATATGGATATTTTGGCACCGTTCGCAGACCTGCTGTGGTTTCGGATTCAGAGCGCTGCAGCCCCTAATCTACAAACCCTGAGACGCAATCATGTGAAATGCAGCATCACATTTGATGGGTTTAAAAAAGCATGGAGAAGATTCTGATATAAACAGAGCGTATGAACTCTTACTCTTACACTCCCTGAGGCTGTCACATCAGCAATCTTCAACAGCAAACTTTCACTAAATCTAAAACAATACATTAATAATAACAAATTTATATGTGCGCACGTGTGTGTGCGTGTGCACGCGTGTGTGTGTGTGCGTGCACGCGTGTGTGTGTGTGCGTGTGTGTGTGTGCGCGTGTGTGGTTGTGCGCGTGTGCGTGTGCGTTTGTGTGTTTTTTTTGTGTGTATGTGCATGTGTGTTGAGGGCAGCAGGCAGGAAATAGATCGTATAGATGCACAGACAGCAGAACCTGACTTGAATAGGTGATGTGGGTGAAGGAACAAATAAGGCATAAATACTGTGACTGAATCTGCTGGAGAAACAGACAGATGGATGAATCTATAGATCAAACCCTCCTTTAACAGAACAAACTGTGCAGCAGACAGCTGTGATCGGTTTGAGTGCAGAGTTTGGCTGTGGTGAGTCTATGGTGTGGTCTTGTGAAGTAATCACACAGCTTGCACTTTGTCTTCATGATCTTGATGCAGAGCAGCTGTGGGGAAGAGCGAGGATTAGTTCAGCTCCCACTGGACTGATGGACACTCTGTAGAGGCTCATTAGTCATTAGTTTAAAACACAGACTTTAGGTGCGGTCACTCTGAACTTCTCAATGACTTCAAAACACGCAACAAATATGGCCGACAGGAGGTGCAGGATAGTTTCTGCTGCAAAGGAAAATAAACTATAAATGACCAGCATTAATGCAAAATATTAACATTGAGGATGCAAGATATATCATTAACCTACAGTATAATAAATCAACACTAATTAATGTATTTGCAAGTAGATATGTAATTGTGTATTAGCATTTCCCTTGTTTTTTTACATGTATTTTGTCACTTCATCTTTTAAAAAGCTAGACTGAATGCTGTTAAATGATCTTGACATAATTATGCATCTTTTTGTACTGTACACTATATTGCAGTCACGCGTAGCATTTTAAACTTTTTTTGTTGGGTTTTAGTTTTTAGGTGTTGCATTTGTTTTATTTATTTAGACAAAATAATTCATTTACATTTAATTTTGGCCATTTAAATAAATTGTGGTTATCAGTCATAATGTGAAATCGAATCTTCAAACAAATTTAAATTCTTCATTATGTGCAATACAGTGTTATAATGCTTAAATTCAAGGACTATAACGTCTAATTTTAGTGTGTTTTTTTTTCATTTATTTAGACAGAATGGTCATTTTTACATCAGTTATTGGTCAAATGATTGACGAGAAATTTAATACAAACTCATCCCTAATTAAAACATATGACCTACTATATTATCTGTGACAAGTTTAATTTTGTCCATTTAATGGTTATCAGTCATAACGTGAAATCAAATTTTCAAATGAAGTTATTTTTTTTTCATATTGGACCATGCAATGTTGTGATGCTTCAATTGACTTACAGCAAGGACTAATTTTTAGTGTTTTATTTTTCATTTATTTACACAGAATGGTAATTTTAACATTTCAACTTTCAACAATTTTAACTTAAAGGCTTTCCTAATTTGCATACTACCTGCCCTAAATAGTTTGCAACATTATTATATCTCAGCACTGGCAGAGTATTTATTCAAAAGTATGAGTTTTCCCATCGAAGTAAGGACCTTTCAGGTGTAATATAAGTATGATAATTAGGATACAGCCTATGCAACACATCTATGCAAGTGTCCCTCAGTATATCATTTGACAGTGCCGTTTCAAGGAGATTTCAGAAATGTACCGCATTTGGATCTATTGACTGAAACCAGATTTGAACAGTCATCTGGCACTTTTTCATAAGCTTTATCTGGCTTTAGCATAAGCAGAGTCGCCGTCTCATGAGTGATGGCCCAGAAGACTCAGCGAGAAGGAGACCACCTGTTCTTATCCACTGTCTTTAATTGAATAACAGCGCAATCAGGATCCATGTATGCCGAGCAATTAGACCCTGCCTTGTTTGCCGTGAACGCTGGTCATGTGATGAGATCTCGTTACTGGAGTCGTGTTTCTGCTGGACTCCATGTCTCAGTAATTTTCTGAGATGTCACACGCCTCACGCTGTCGGCAGAGAGAAGACGCTGGTCATTTTAGAAGCTGACACTCTGAGCCCTTGCTGTCACCTCCGTGCCCTCTATCAAGATGCTAATGAGTTAACATTCAACACCTCCCACCAATCACACGAGACGAGCTGACGAAGTCATTACGGACATGTTGCTGTGGAAGTGTGCCATTGTGTTTGGGTGAGTATAATTGACAGTTCTGATTAGATATTAACTAAAGTATCAGATGTGGGACAATTTACATGCCTGAGATTCATTCAAGGACACGACGACAAGGACAAATTGCTACAGAAAGTGAGCAGAAGAAAATGAGTCAATTTATGAAAAGATGCATACATCCACACTTTAATGATATTCATAGCAGGCTGTGCAATAAAGGTTATAGTTGATAATAATAATAATAATAATAATAATAATAATAATCATAATAAAATGTCATTTAAAAATAAATTGTTTATTTTTAAATGTCCAATAACTAATGTTTATAATCTGACACACTGACACAATAATATCTACAATAACAGATCATTAATAATAATAATGAGAAGAAGAATATTTTTAATGTTCAAAATCTACTATTTAGAACCCAGTTCTAAATAGTATCCCATTAATTATTTTCAATAAATCACACAATAATATCTACAATAACAGAGCATTATTATTATTATTATTATTATTATTAATAATAATAATAATAATGTTCTGTTGTTGTAGTTATTATTGTGTCAATGTTTTTAAATATTAGTTATTGGGAAACATTTATTTAAAAATTATTATTATTATTATTAATGATCTGTTATTGTAGCTATTATTGTGTCAATTATGAAGGATTGTCCTTGAAAGACATTTCAAAATATTATAAAATATTCGTTTTTGAACATTTAAAAATAAAATGATTATTATTATTATGATTATGATTGTGATTATTATTATCATTATCATTATCATTATTAAACCTAGTGTGGCTATCCTTTTATATACTGAAACTTAACATAGTCAAAGAGTTATAGGGGGGCCTTGGCATTCATTTCATAAACCAGCATCAAATTAGGTCTGAAAAGGTTGTGCAATTTTAATGCTAATAAACAGCTCTCAGAAAATCCCTTTATAGACGTGACTGACTAAATTTGAACACTTTTTCATTCATTTGCACTTTCCTTTTATCATTTTGCATTTCTTACCACAGCTGACCTTGGCTGTTGAGAATGACCAATAATATGGATGAGCTTTTAGTCAGATTGGGTGAAGCAGTTTAGACGAATTGACTTGGCCGGATTGAGGCTTTTCTTATTGCAATAAAGCTACCTAATTTATTCAGCGCCATGCCCCGCGTCCCCTTTGTCCTTCTGGAGGGACGCAGAGTTCTAGCAGTGTTCTGTTCTTTCTGTGTCCTTATAGAGAATCTGAGCTGCTGTAGTTTTGCTTTCATTATTCAGCTGGAGAATGTGGGTATAGAAGTTGCACACATGTTCAAGAGGAGCCCAACTTGAGAGAGTGCCATACTGTCAATACGTCCTTGAGGAATGATGAAAAACCAGTTTAAATGGATGGTACATGCTGGGGAATAAAAGTCAACTTCTGCATAGACACCTTGAGAGAAACTTGTCAAGATATGAGAGAAATATGAAGGATGCAGAGGACACAACTGAGGATTACGAGCTGCTCGAAAACACAACCGGTGAGTCTTAAAGGGATAGTTCACCCATAAATTAACATTTGCTGTTCATTTACTCCCCCTCAGGCCATCCAAGATGACAATAGCTGACTTTTTTTACTTCAGTAGAACAGTAAAGAAGATGTATTAGCTGAAACCGTGGTCGTTGGTGCTTCATAACATGCAAGTCAATGGCTACCGCCACTTTGAGAGTCAAAAAAGCATATCAAGGAACACAAAATGAATACCCATGGCTCCTGATGAGATATTGAAGTCTTATGAAGAGAAACGATCGGTCTGTGCAAGAAAATGAACATTATTTACAGCATTATTAGCTGTAATCCAGAGCCTCAGGCAAATGGGGAAATCAGATTATTTTCTGTGAACTGGTTCTTTCGGATAGTTTGTTTCAATTAACTAGTGCAATTCAATTTGTGTTCCTGTGGCTCAGTGGTAGAGCATTGCGTTAGCAGCGCAAAAGGTCGTGGGTTCAGTTCCACACATACTGGTAAAAAATGTACAGCCTGAATGCACTGTAAGTCGCTTTGGATAAAAGTGTCTGCTAAATGCATAAATTATTCATTATTAAATGATTAATTCACTAGTTCATTTACATAATCACACAATGACAAAACATATACACAATTACATTATTAAAGCACCCAATAATGATGTGAAACACGGATGTATTTAAAGTGAATAAACTCATCTTCATCAGCTCACCTTTTGACATAAACCGAGAGAAACCATAAAAACGTCCTTTTGCACTTTCATTCAAGTGTTGGGTTCACTCATGCTCATATCAGCGGCTCATCGGTCTTCGGTCCGAGTCGAACCGTTTCCTCAGTTCAGTGACTGTTAGAGGAACTGGAGCGCTGAATGATTTATTCATCACAGGATCAGATACACCGCTATTTCGGCTCATTTCCAGTCGGAGTGACTGTCAGGTGTCTGAAAGTGAGTTTTGATTGAGTAACTTGTAGATCTGTGCTGCTCGAGACATGAACTGTTTCAGGTGAACTGGTTCATCTAGTTCACTAAAAAGAACCGGTTCAAAAGAATGATTCATTTGTGAACCGTACATCACTCTGGATCATTTGCCTGAGGCTCTGGATTACAGGTAATAATGCTGTAAATAATGTTCAGTTTCTTGCACAGACCGATCGTTTCGCTTCATAAGACCTCAATATATCATCAGGAGCCACGGGTATTAATTTTGTCTTGCCTGTACATGCTTTTTTGACTCTCAAAGTGACGGCAGCCATTGACTTGCATTTTATGAATCACCAACGACCACGGTTTCAGCTAAAAATCACCTATGGTCATCTTGGATGGCCTGAGGGTGAATAAATTCTCATATTTGAATACATTTTCATTTTTGGGTGAACTATCCCTTTAAAAACAACACTGCAAGGAAGGAAAATATTAAAATCACGGCCTACGGAATGAGTTGCCGATAATAAAATGAATTCAGTGAAGACAATGTGGCTTTGTAGAGCTTTACCTTCTGTCTCTGGCACTGAAAGACACCACGTGGATTCCTAGCGGCCCACCGCCATTGGACACCTCAACCGGCTTCAACATTTCACTAGGGACATTGACAAACGAGGGCAATGAGAGGAGAAACAAAACAGAAGAAACCAAGTAAACAAAGAAAAGGCAATACATACAAAGTTTAGAGCATGACAGAGCGGCTATGAGTAGCTATGAGCTACCGCCCGGGAAGCTAAGGCTAGTTTAGATCCAGCACGAGTCCATCTATAACCCCAGGGGCCATTAAGACACACGGGTCGATGGAGGACCCAAACAGACACTTCAATTAAGTGATTAGGATCAGATTGAGGCCTGCAGAGGGCCAGTTCTGAGTTTTTTAACAGTCGGGGAACGCACTACACTCTTAAAAATAAAGGTGCTTCAAAAGGTTCTTCAAGCGATGCCATAGATGAACCATTTTTGGTTCCACAAAGAACCATTCAGTCAAAGGTTCTTTAAAGAACCATCTCTTTCTTACCTTTTTATAATCTGAAGAACCTTCTTTCGCCACAAAGAACCTTTTGTGAAACAGAAAGGTTCTTCAGATGTTATTTTATTTTACAATTTTATTAAAATACAGTTAATATTTTAACAGTAAGAAATAGATAGCAGGGTTATTATAGTTAAGTAAAGCTAAAAAAAAATGAAAATGAAATCGAAATTGAAATGAAACTTTAAGTAAAATAAAATATAATATAAAAAAAACTTAAACTTATTTTATTTCAGCTAATTGCCCAGGCAACATTTCTTTTAGTTCGACAATCTACTAAAATAACTAAAACTAAAGCTGAAAAAAATAAAAATAAAAACTACTGTATATACATACTGTATTATATATATGTATATATACTTATTTCTTAAATTAGTTGCTTGATAGTCACTGATCACAGTTTTTCAATACATGGGAAAAGGCAGCCTGGACATTTTCCTAAATATCCCATTTTGTGTTCAGTAGCTTTTTTTTTTTTTCAGGTGGATACCCTTTAAGACATTTTAGTAGAAAACAAAGATGTGTTGGATTTTGTTGGTTGTGAGAAAAACAGAAAGCGGTTCCCAAATAATTTGTTGGTCTTGCTGTGAGGACTCACTCGAGTGAAGCTGATTCCACACAGGAGTCTGCCCTTCCCACCGGCTCTATCCTGCCGTTCCTCCCGTTGTCTGCTCGAGAGAAAACATGTGGCAAGAACACATGGGATAAAGAGAGGACAACAAGCATCAGTAAAAAAGATGAGCACAAGAACTGATGAGGTGCTGCGGTCTGTTTCTGTTAAACTGTCATCGTTTCCTCGTTTCCTCACCTAAAAATTACCATTTGGGACACAAATCAGGGCTATTATACTAAAAAAAATTAAATTAAACTAAGACCAATTAAAAATTGTTTATATATATATATATATATATATATACCATAAACAATTTTTAATTTTAATTTTTAAACCTCATCCTCTGCCTCTGTAACGATGTTTGAAAACATAGGTCTGCTTCCATTTATAATGCACGAGCACTAATGCACATATTCTGTTCCGGAGAGCAGGATCTGAGAGTGGCACGGGAGACGCATGCAGCCGTTTGCTCAGATGGTGTTGGTTGTGAGAAAGTATTCCTGTGAGGACTCACTCGAGTGAAGCTGATTCCACACAGGAGTCTGCCCTTCCCACCGGCTCTATCCTGCCGTTCCTCCCGTTGCCTGCTCTCTCCTCGTCTTCTTCTTCTTCCTGTGGAGCACCAAAGAAACACACTGTGAGTCAACGGTTCTCCCTCACATCTCACATAAAGCAGCCGATCTCTGGCTCGCTCTAATCGAATTGAGTGACAGATGAGCGTAATGGCTGCTGTTTTAAATCAGAGGGACTGTGAGAGTACGGCTGTGGCATCAGAGCGATGGCTGTAATCGATTATTCATATTCAATCAATCAGTCTGGGCTTGAGCCGCGCTCAGGTCTGCTGCTAATCGGATAAGGGAAGAGTTAAGTGGATGCTCATTTGTTTCTTTCGCTATCCTTATTTAATTTCCATCTCTCTGTCTTTCTATTTCTCAACCTCTTGACACGTCCGATATGTGCAGATGTCATTTACAATTCTTGGAAAAATGTAGAACAATAAGGTCCTGTCAAATAATGGAGGCTGGATTGAAGGCAGACCTCTCATCAAACATATTGACAGACTGACCACAAAAAGCATGTCAGCTTTCTTTGAAAGATGACATGCTTTTTATTTATTTATTTATTTATTTTTCCTGCCATCTTTGAAATGTGTATACATGCCGAATAGGAAACAAAGGGAACAATAAATAAATAAATAACATATTAATATATAAATAAGTATTTCACACAAAGAGAAAAAATACTAAAAGTAAAAAAAAATCAAATGAAAATTTAAATGTAAAATATTAATAAAAATCTAGAACACTATCTCAATGATATAAAAAAACAACACATTTTTAAAAATGCTAATTAAAATAAATGTTAACTGAGGTAAAATTAAACATTTTATGTCACCAAGTTTCTAAGGCAACATTTCTAATTTTCATTTAGATTACCTAGATGTACTAAATAAATTATTATTATTATTATTATTAGTTTTACTAAAATAAAAATGGGAAAGAAAAGGAAAAAAAAAAGTAGAATATTATCTCACCACTGCAAATATATATAAAATGGCCACTGCTGTATTGCACACTGTCAATGCACATAATCAAGATTCATATATGCAAACTGTATATTCAGCTAAATAAAATAAACTGAATGAATGAATGAATGAATGAGTGACCAAAGATTAACAACAATCCCTCAATCGAGTTTATCCAATGACAACTGAATATATTCCACACATTAATTCCACTCGAACCCTTTGCTGTGGATCATTTCCAAAGCCAACTGAGTGTCTAGACATGGGCGAGATTCTGCAATGGTTTGTTAGCCACAGATATTAATATTCCAGTGGTCTCACCCTTAACCTTCACCTCTCACTAAAATGTCGAGCACATCTAAATAAGCACTTCTCCGTCTTTATATGGAAATGCATTCAGTCTCTTCAGACAGTCACCCTCCACCACACGCATCCGCCGGTCTGAAGAGGATGACTGGATTCCTATTTTCATCTGCCTCCATTTTTTTATTGTTGTAGAGGTTAAAGAATGAGTGGAGGTCATGAAAATTGTATTAGCAAACCTCGGAAAAAGTGGCGCCAGGTCTGTTACCTTATTCTGGTGAAAATGAGTCAATTGCCTCTCCAAACACAGTCGAAGGTTTAGCTACTAAACGCCCAACACAATGATTTTCCTGCAGAAATGGCTGGATTTTTGCCTTCATATCACAGTGTTGGTGCGGAAGAAATCCTAATTATATTTGATCCAGAATTTTCAATCAAACCTTGTCACCCACAGAACTGAATTAAGAATTATCGCATCAATTAGGGTCAGATTTCCCAATTTACAGGTATATGCATCTCACTGATTTTCAATCTGTATATCAAATATTTGTAGCATGATCATGTAAAAGTCTGCATCAAAATGCAGAAAATTAACAAGACATTATTTACATGGCAATATGTGATAATATAACTATATAATATGTAAACATATCCACAAAGAGAATATATAAGCAGGAAAAAGAGTTATTCTTTAAAAAAGTCATATATATATAACCCCAAAATAATAATATTAATAATAATTGATGTTGTTGTTGTTGTTGTTGTTGTTTAAATAAATAAATAATGGATTTTTTTTAAAGGATTTTTTTTTCTTTGCATTGCAGCATCATTTAGTCCCCAATTTCACTGTATATGCTTTGCAGAAAAAAAAAAAAGTCTAAACTTTAGGTGAAATAAACCAAACATTTCATGCATTTTTTAATCATGTGGATTCTGAATTAAATTTAGGATTAAAAGTATTTTTAAATACCAAATTCCATAAATATTGTAGGTAAAATGTTGTTTTTTTTTTGATTATGTCTTATTTACAAAATTTCCCCAAAAGGAATATATACAGTAAGATAAAAAAGGAGGAGAAAGAGTTCATCTAAAAATACTTAACCCCAAAATTAAAAGAAAATTTACATGATAAATTTCATTATGTTTTTGTTTGTTTTTGCATTAAATCCTAAAATGAATTGAGAATCCAAATGGATTATATATATATATATATATATATACAGTATATATATATATATATATATATATAATTTCAGGTTATTTGATTTTGTAGCTGGTGGAGTGCAAGTTTCATGAGACATGCAGCTGCGCTGGAGTGTCTCCATTCAGCTGTGAACTCTGCTGTCTGCAGCCAGAGAATGAGCTTATTAGCAATGAGAGATAAATTAGAGTGGCGAGGGCCGTCACATCGGACCCTGAGAGCTGGTCCAGACGGCTGAGGAGAGCAGAGAAAGGTCCCTGTCAGAAAGTCACTCGCACAAAAACAAAGTGTCACTTTGCCTGTGGTGGAGGTAATGACAGACAGAGAAAACCAGGCTGGATGCCAGACGCTCCATTGTCCGGTTCTGAACACCTGCCAGACGAGAGAACCAATGACAAACTCCTGCATCAGCCCAGCACAGGGGGAAAAGGTCATTTTATAGGCGTCCCAGAGGTGAAGATTGACATGAGCTTTAAGGGATGAATCCACCGCTGTCATTCGGGTGCTTTAGGGCTCTGCTGATATGTGAGTGTTTGTGAGTTTGGGTGAAGGCCAGAAGCCACTCAGTGCAGCAGTTACAGGAAGCCAGAGGTTACAAAGCTGGCGATTAGACAGAGAGTGCATTAGATTATTGTTCCTGGCAGACGCAGGAGGTCGGTCACATTGAGAGACTGCGTGCGGGCTTGTGAGGAGCTGGAGGGAGAAAGTTTTCCATCACAGGGAACTCAGATTATAGGAGGAAACGGCTGAAATCTCCAGAATGCTGGATGAAATCCAAACAGAGGTCTGCGTGATCCTACGGATGCCTAGCTGGAGGGCCTGAAGGTCACGTCTGTGGAGACCACCAGTGTCTGACCTCCAGAACAAGCAGATGAAATCAGGAAGGTGACGGTGGTGTGACATGACAGTTAGTGACAGGAGGAGAGGTCTGGCCTCTAGCATTGGGTCTAAGGTCGAATTTACACACAGAGACCGCAGGAGTTTGTACTGTGTAACGTTACACAAAAATGATATTTCAGTATGCACTTCGGTTTTAAAGTCACAGTTCAGTACTAAACTAAACATAAAATTGCTTCTTTTCTTCTTTTTTTATTAAACTGTGGTTTACAGAACAAATTGTGGCTTTGGCTTTGTCTTTAAATAAATTCAATTATAATAACATTTTCTTAAGGATGAAAATCTATCTCAGCTAATGTTGTAAACAATCTAGGGAACATTATTACTTGTGCATTACTATAATATTAAAGGTTAGCCCAAACTATTAAATTCAATTCCACTTCATTTTTTAGATATAATAATCAAAACTCTAAGCTCAAAAAAAATAAAAAATAAATAAAGTTTATCCTCCAAGTCATAATATAATATAAGACAGTGGACTGAACTTGTTTTCATGAATTTCCTGATTAAATGGACAGAATTTGAAAGATGACACTTTGCTTCTTATAGAAAGTAACAAATCACAATGCTTATTGTGCTTATTGGACGGCAGGTGTGGTTTATATGTATAGTGAAGGTTTATTCACTCATCAACTGAAGCAGCATAGACCAATAGATCGATTTTAGGATTTAAGAATTAATATAATTTAAGAATCGAATCGATTCTTTAAAATGAACATATACAAAAGAATGAGTTTCATATTAAGTTACGCATGTGCATCGAGTAAAACAATGCTGCATTTGGCACCTGCTGCATGCTCGAGCTCGTTAAAGCAGCATGGATTCTGATTGGCTGGCCATGTATTAATAATTAATCAGCAGGAGAAAAATTGCTGTGAAAGTGATTCCAGCAATTTAATTTCCCTGTGTCATTATAGTTGTGGAGTGGCTGTTCTTTTAAATTTAGAACGATTTTTAAAAGGGTTATATGATGCTGCTAAAAAGAACATTATTTTGTGTATTTGGTGTAATGAAATGTGTTTATGCAGTTTAAGTCTTTATGCACCAAGAGCTTGTAACACTCCAAAGAGAAAGGAAAAATTCAAATCGCATCATATGACCACTTTAAAACTATATCTTTATCATTATAGTTAATGTCCTCAGTGTGAATGGGCCTTTAGCAGAAAAACAGAGGCTTCAATCTTATTGGGAGTCACTATATGTCTGGAAGATCAGTTGTAATCACAAGGTAAAGTTAACAAAAGAAGGACCATACTGGAAGAAAAGAATGCTTAAATTAGCCTAAACTTTAAGATGCTTTTTGTTTTTCAGAACTTTTCTGTGAAAGCTTTAGTTGATGCACTAAACTGACATTCAAGTGCAAAACTGTGCATTTCACTTAGTTTTCTATGCTGTGTTTGAGAAATAATCAGTAGGCTAATAAAAAGCTGCAAAGTGGACTAGACCTTAGACTGATCAAAAACAGGTCTACGTGAGACTGCTACAAAAGCAAACACAATTATTTTCCATTCTGCTCACCAATGTTCTCAGGAACAGATGTATTTTGAGGGAGGATATCTTAAAATCTATACACAAACATACAGCTCTGCATCTTTAACCCAGAACTGAACGAAAGGCCTATTTTCTTGTCCAATGTAAAGTGCTGGAAATTTGCCGTAAAGTAAATATAAGGAAGCGAGCAATTTG